GAATATTGTCTGCTGACATGAAGGTCACTGTATATCGTAGTAATAAATTGTTTTCTTTTTAATTTATACACAATAAATATTATATGTATGTAATAAAATGTGTATTTCCATTACAGGTTTAGGTCTTAAATTTCATAAGGTGGTATTAAAAAGGTCTTAAATTTAACTTGTTCATGTCTGCAGAAACCCTGTTAACTGAAACATTTAAGCTTAATAGAAATATTAAACTAAGAATGACAAAAGCATATAAATTACCGTATTGACCCGAATATAAGAATGTTTTTTTCTTCTTTCTTGGTATACATCTGAAAAAACGCGGTCGTCTTATATTCAGGGTCTAGACTTTTTGAGATTTGTCTGCAACTTCAGGGGTCTTATCTATGCACAATCAGCTTGTAACACTCCAAAGAGAAAGGAAAACGTGAAATCGCATCATATGACCCCTTTAATCTGACTGGTAGCAGCCCTATAGTGTATATTGAATTTATTGATAAATTATAATAATTTGACATGAAAGATGATGCATGCATCTAAAAAGGTTTAAAAATAGGCCTTTGTAAAGGTAAATATGCAGATTTAAGTATGTAAAAGCTGATAGAACACTGAAAATATTGCTTCAGAATAAATTGTTTACTCCACCAAAAATCTCAGCGATGCAGGGATATTTTGTATGGAATATTGTCTGCTGACATGAAGGTCACTGTATATCGTAGTAATAAATTGTTTTCTTTTTAATTTATACACAATAAATATTATATGTATGTAATAAAATGTGTATTTCCATTACAGGTTTAGGTCTTAAATTTCATAAGGTGGTATTAAAAAGGTCTTAAATTTAACTTGTTCATGGTTGCAGAAACCCTGTTAACTGAAACATTTAAGCTTAATAGAAATATTAAACTAAGAATGACAAAAGCATATAAATTACCGTATTGACCCGAATATAAGAATAATTTTTTATTTTTTTTCTTGGTATACATCTGAAAAAACGCGGTCGTCTTATATTCAGGGTCTAGACTTTGACATGTCAATAATATACCCACAACAATAGGTGGCACCAAATACGCATAAAACGAGTGGGCCATGAAATACGTAATGTAACGCGTGTTGTAAAGATCGCCAGTAAAATCAAAAGAGAAGGAAAACCTTACAGCTGCATGAGTCATGACTGTCACATTAGCCTGATGGGACCAAACTCCCTTTGTGATTTTAAAACGTAAGACAGTACCCAGATTTGAAGACTACAGTAAGATTTAACTTCTACTCTTGATAAGATTTTGGCATGCTACTATTAGATAGATAGCCTAAATGTCCTAATTCAGATGGGCTACCCGTTTGTTTGTTTTTTTGTGTGTTTTTATTTTGTGATTTGTTGGTACATTTTACCAGTTTTTACCATACTTTCAAAACAATTAAAATAGGAAAAATATGCTATATGAAAATATAGACAAAATGTGTTTTACTGAGAAAAAACAATATTTGGCTTTTAAAATCAGGAAAATCTGGATCTGGAAAAAGGGGGGTTGTCTTATATTCGGGCCAATACGGTACTAAAACTCAAATTAATGAACCCTATAGGGTATAAATACACTAGAATAATATTGGTGCAGTATACCGTGTTTGTTTGTTTTTTTGTGTGTTTTTATTTTGTGATTTGTTGGTACATTTTACCAGTTTTTACCATACTTTCAAAACAATTAAAATAGGAAAAATATGCTATATGAAAATATAGACAAAATGTGTTTTACTGAGAAAAAACAAGATTTGGCTTTTAAAATCAGGAAGATCTGGAAAAAGGGGGGTTGTCTTATATTCGGGCCAATACGGTACTAAAACTCAAATTAATGAACCCTATAGGGTATAAATACACTAGAATAATATTGGTGCAGTATACCGAGACGCTCACAAGCTGTTGTTTTGCAGTTACTCCAGCCGTGACTACATGAGTTCACGGGATAGTCGAGACTATGCCCCACCACCACGTGATTACTCATACCGGGAGTATTCGGGCCATTCCAGTTCTAGAGATGACTATGGGTCAGGATCCAGAGGTTACAGGTGTGTTAACATCCTGCAATGGATGTCTGTGATGGCAGTATGAGAATCCAGCCTAACGTTTCTTTTGTTTCTTAGTGATCGTGATGGCTATGGTGGAGGACGAGAGCCCAGGGGTTACATGGATCGGCCCAGTACGGGCTCCTATAGAGATCCTTATGACAGTTACGGTAAGATTGAACCTTTAGTGTGGTGAAAAGGGTTAGGGGGGCTCCACTCAAACTGCCTGTTTTGTGCCTGGAAAGGGCTGCTTCGTGTCATTGCCAAAAAGTGGAAGCATCAAATGCGGCATCTTTTCATCCAGAGGGTTCCATCCAAAAAAAAAAAAAATCACACCAACAAGGAATCTCTTACAAGCTGTTTTTTGCCCCCCAAAAAGTTCCAGTCATTCTGGTAGCACTGTCCGAACAACCAACCGAGATCCAGTATCCAAACTACAGTCTAAATGGAATTCAGTCCAAACCAAGGAAAGTGCATTTACTCAACAATGATGTGCCAAAGGGCTCTGAGTGCGCAATTGTCAACACTGCAGTTGGGTAGATCAGGTATCTTGGCTTTAACTAGTCCCACCCATAACCCTAGAACCAAATTAGTTTTATCCTCATTTGAAAAGTTTCTAATGTTTGAGCTAGTCGTGATACAAATTTAGGGAAATGGGCACTTGACAACGCAGTATCATGCAAAGAATGTTTAAGTTAATTTTGCCAATTACATGACCCATTGACCCTGCAGGTAACTCACGCAGCGCCCCACCCTCGAGGGGTCCCCCTCCGTCCTACAGTGGGAGTGGTGGAAGCAGTCGTTATGACGACTATGGCAGCAGTTCCCGGGATGGATATGGCAGTCGTGACAGTTATCCCAGCAGTCGGAGTGACCCGTACTCCGCTAGTCATGGTGATCGTCTGGGTAGACGGGAGCGAGGGCCACCCCCTCCTCTTGAGAGAGGCTATCCTCGTGAATACAGCAGCTCGAGCCGTGGGCCGCCTCGGGGTGGTGTCCGCGGCGGTCGGGCAGATAGAGGAATGGCCCGGAACAGATACTGAGATGGACTCTGTGGAGAAACAAATAAAATGGAGAAATGATGGCTTCTCGTTGAAACGTTCAAAAGACTTTAAGATTAAAAAAGTGCCCTTTTAAACTCTGGACTTCAAGCTTCAGTTTGAAGCTGTACTCAAACTTGTGAATTTTTTTATATTTTTTATTTTTTTAGTTTGTCCTTTTTTAAATTCAAAGTTTAGTTCTTTTTTTCTTGCCCACTTCCCATTTAATGGTACTGTTGCAAATCTAAGTTTGCTCTTTTTGTATACTAGTGACTTGTTAAACCTGCAATGCCCTAACATATGGCTTTCATTTACCAATAAAGTATTTTTAATCAAAGATCTTGAGCAACAGCACTCCATTCAAGAGAATGAGAAACTATGAAGTGTAAATATCCATTCACCTCTTCAGCTTTCCATGGTGAGCAACCCCAAGTTCCACTTAATATAGATGCAAAGCAGAATATTCATGTAGGCATGATTGTTCACATTGTTGGGGACTGGGCAAATGTCACCTTTTTCCAAACTCTCTATGGGTATAGTTTTCCTCGGTGCAAATGGATCCTTCATCACAAAGCCTAAACATTGACGCCTTGCATCGACCAATCCAAAGACAACCAAAATGCAAGAAACAAATCTGCACCACAGATAAAACCTGTCAACAGCTGGTAAGCAAAGCAAACCCTTTTGTTCTGGTATAAGTCTAGTCTCTGTGGTGTTATTTTGCAGCTTGAAGGTTAGTGTAATTTCGACTTGGTTGCCCTGGCATTTTCAAATGCAATCTGAAACAATATGATTTCCATTATTAACAAACTCACTTCTGCCTTCAAAGGAGTCTGATCTCTTCCCAGCCACTGGATCACTTCAGTTTGGAAGGTCTTAGTGTCAGAATTATCAGCCAGTTCTACTGTTGCACTAAAGGAGAAAATGTCTGGATTTTTTTTCCTGCCCCTTTCAAATGAGAAATGGCCCCTTTTTTTTTTTTTTTTTTTTTTTAATAAAAGGATGTTAAGATGAATCTCCTCAGTGGATCTATATCTACAGCCAAATGTAAACCACATAGCTGCAAAACCTCTTGAAACCTCCCAGTGGAGCCCTTTTTGAAAATGTAGTAAATTCACTTGGTGTTAACAAAAAGCCAGAATGCTCTCAAGCATGCCGATTCTAGCAAAGGAGACCACGTGGAGAAAGACTGCACCCTATCAACAAACCTGGAAAACCAATCAGTTTGGGTCATTTGAGTTCTTTTGTGAAATTTTACATTTACATTTTTATTTTTATTTTGTCCCTTATGCCGAGCTACAACAGTTCGCTGATGGAAACTCTCATTGCAGGCTGAATGGAGGAAAGGGAGTTTGATGGTTATACCTTATTGCTGATCAGCACCTGTTGCCATTTGGTGATGCATGATGGTCTCGAGTAAGATGCAGGTAAGAGTAAGTCCTTAAACCACTGCAAATTAATATTTGGCGTTTTCATACAATTGCTTTTGTTTTCATCTAGATCGGAACTATCCAGGTTCTTTGGAGACTGCGGTTCATTGAGGCTGATGTTTGGATGGAGTCCTGGGCTGCTACAGATGAATTGCTTGTATTTATTTTTATTCAATAAACTATCATTTGAAATGAACTTATTTGTCGGTGTATCTTATTTAATTCCCACTATAACAGTGCTGAATTGGTTTGGTCATGTCAGTGCTCCCTGTACTACAGGCAAAAGTAATTTTCATCAAAAAACGCAGTTGAGCCATATGGAAAATTCTTGCGGCTTTCACAGTTCCTTTTGTGTCAGTGAAATGTCAAAGAGCCTTCATGTTGGTTATATGGCAGACGTCCACTGGAGAACTAAGTTGCCGGGCTGAATGGTCGTTGTAACGTCAGTGAAAAAGCAGAAGCGCGACGGATGTGGGTAGCATCTCAACACACATAGTGAGAGCTGGCGCACCAAGGGTGCTGCTAAATCTGAAAGGCCCATTGAGCATAAAAACTATGAACCCCGAGGAGCAAACTGTTACGTGGCTAATAACATTAGGCGTGCTTAATTCACCCAAAAAGAACATCGCTGATCCGGAGGAATTTCTGAAAACCTCTCTCAGAGATGGGGTCGTCCTGTGCAAGCTTGTGGAGCGAGTGCTACCTGGAGCCACCTTAAAGGTAATCGATAATATGTACATGCATGTTTGCTTGATTAAATAGTCGCAGTCTAGTGAATTAAATATTTTTATAAATGCAAATGTATCAGATACAGCCATGCGGAATTGACGGTGCGAAATTACTTGCTCTTACAAGAAACACTTTGCAATGCACTGTATTTTGTACAGATGCAATACGTTTTGAAACCATTTTCAGCTATTGTGTATTTAGCTGTGTTTGTTTATTCGGGACACACACAATTTAATCGAGATCGAGAATCGGACTTCCTGTTACATGAGAAATTGTTCCGCATTCTCACATTTTCAAAAAAGTAATGTTCTTCAAAACATGTCGATCTTCACTTTAGTATAAAACACCAAGAGCATTTGTAAAGCAATTTTCTTCTCTCGTTTGTAAAAGCCGTCTAACTATGTCAGTCAGATCTCAGATTATTGTGTCTGTTTGCATGCTGCTACATGGCACATAAGGTCGTTATTACTAGGGTGTTCAGTTTGAGTTTGTGCTGAATAAAATTCTGTTGTAATTGTTTTACTGTAAATGCTTTAATTATGGGGCGAATATATAGATCTCACTGAAGTGTATAACGAATGTGCTGATCAGTACAACAACTTGTAAAAGATCCTCCGTTTTATAGAGCTCATAAGTTTTCTTGGTTCTTGTCGTCTTCCCTTCATTTCTATTTCAAACCACTTTCCTCATTTTAACGCGCGACGCTTTCAAACGGTTATCTTGTTGAACGTATTTACATTATAGTGAATGAATCATTCTTTTGTGTCGGATCTTTTTAATGAATTGGATTAGTCGGTTCACGAAACGGCACTGAACGATTCGTGCAAAAACAAACAACTGCTTAGCGAATGGTAATGCAAATTATATTATTATGACTTTTTTACAAGCTGAAGTATTACTGCATCAAGACATATGGAATTACAGTTTGGGGGGGGAAATGTAACAAACAACAATATGCGTCTATGGCTTTATTTAAATGTTTTATTTATACCACATGGACGTCAATGCGCAAACGAATTGAATTTTGAACCGGTTCTTTGAACGGAACTGTTCGAAAGAACCGATTCGCGGAAATGAGTCGGACTTGCCATCATCACTAGTAAGCGGTCCAAGTAAAATCTTGCTGAGCAAACATCGTCACTTCCTCCAAATGTACTTTTCCTGGTGCTACAGGGCCCGATGAGATCCAGTATAGATACGGGCTGTGTGTCTGTGTAACAGGACGAAGCTGAAGCAAAGAAACAGTTTCTTAGTAAACTGAACGCCACAGATATTTAGCATGCGATACTGGACAGCAGTGGCAGGGTACAATGTGGCTCATAGGCTAGGTTGACACACACTTCAAAAAACGAGATCTTGTTGATCTCAGGTGGTTCTGTGCATTACAGTGTGCTCGAAGCAAAGTTGAGACTATTTGCATCTTTCATTGGTTTTCAGTATTCGACTGAACCCAGATGCGAAGCGGACTGCATTGCAAACATTCGAGAGTTTCTAAAAGGATGCCAGTCTCTAAAGGTTGAGGTAAGATCACATTTTTCTTTACATTTCTGTGCATGAGTGCGTTGGTATCACTCAAATGCAGCGTTTTTGCTTATAAAGGGTCATGCCTTTGAGAAATACAGCTGAGTGTGTATTAATATGCGGCCTGCAGGCTGAAGATCTCACTCTTTTAGGTAGTAACTAGATCTCAAATAGCCTAAATCAGTTATATAGTGTATATGTATGAAAATACATTTCAGATAAAGCTGTATTTATAAGCATTGATTTTATGCAGGAATGATTTACTTAACATAGTCTTCATCATTTATTAAGAGATAATATATTGAATAATTTATATTAAGTATTTATGCAGAGTACTTCTTCCTTCAGCCCAACTGTTTTAGTGTAGCTCTCCCTGAGGGCAAGCACATAAATAGCAGGGTTTAGTTTTGGTTTTGCACATGTGATCTTAAAATATGCCAGTAAACAAGATTGCACATAATACTAGCTCTTTCGCATATGCATTTCATTTATTATGGTTATTATGGTCTTGACCTGCAGCAGCATTACAGATCTCTCAAGATGATGTTCAGGAATTATAACTGTCACAGTAAACACTAGGGATGCACCGATATGAAAATTTTGGCCGATACCGATAACCGATTATTCTTTATTTTTGAAAGCCGATAACCGATATGTTGGCCGATAAATCTATATCCAAATTGTTATATACTTTTTGAGAGCCTGATTACAAAAAAGGTCTCATCATTAAAAGCCACATCCCAAACACTTCAACATAAGCAGCCTAGTTTGAACGGTGTACGTTTTAAAAATATTTTTACTCTCCCATTACCAAATTTAGTCATAAAAAAGCCTTACAAATAAATAAAATTATGCATAAATAATGCAAACAAGTCACTGGACATCATTACACATGTAAAGAATCAAAATGAATGCGCCACAGATCAATAAAACGGAATAGCCTCTGCACGGACAATAATTAAATGATTTTAATTACTAAACCATATTGTTGATGAAAATAATAAGAGAACAATACAAGTGGTTGTTGTTATTAATAATATATCAATGATTTTGAAAAAGTAACAAATTAATACCACTGTTTTAAATAGCAGCCGTTGAGCTGCGCGTGCTGAAGCTGAAGAGCTGAATGAACATGGTAAACTGAAGCGTTTTGCTGGCAGCTTATTTAACTCAAGGAAATGCATCCTGAGATTAATATTAATACAACATAAACATAATATTATAACTTATATATGTACAAAATGATGCAGTTATTGCGTGCTATAGTCAGAATGTGTGATCCTGTTGTGGATGCGCTCTTCCCATATCAACGCGCTGAAACACGGCAACTAAACCCAAAGAATTCCCAACGTTTTATTATAATAATGTTCTCATTAGAATGTTATATACACGACATTCCCAATCATAGTTATTAATGTTGTGCACTGCTGTTTGAGCTGCGTGTGCTGAGCTAAAGATGATCACCGGTAAACTGAAGCGCTCTTTTAACTTAACCAAACGCATTCTATATGAGATAAATCAGATATACATCAAATAAACACAATATTACAATGTACAATTGCACAAAAGGCTGCAAACGAACAGCACGCATCTGAAGTGTCTCTGAAGGAAATAATGCATTATTTATCGGCTATAAGATATCGGCCAAATTTTCTTATCAGGCCGATACCGATAACAGAAAAAATGAGCCGATATGGGCCGATACCGATATGGTGGCCGATATATCGTGCATCCCTAGTAAACACTGTCAGTCTGCAAGGTCAATTACTGACACAGACTAACTATGATGCCATACCCTCTGCAATGAGGGTATGGTAATAAAACTATGATCAAAATCTGGTTATAGAGTGATAGACTGTGCATATATAGTGAACATGACTCCTTAGCACCGTGTTACTTGGTTATATGTAATGTTTGGGTTTGATTTAAAGCTAGTGAGCTTGCTAATAGAGTTTTTTTTTTACCTTTATTGAAATAGTTTCACTTTTTATGGTTGAAACCTATTTATAGGAGTATGAATTGAACATCTTGCCACTGAACTGTTCAGAAGGCTAGTGGTAGACTGATATGGGGTTTTTAATAGTCTATACAGATATGCGCTAATGCGAGCAAATGAGATGAGATTGATAAAATGCTGGCTATGCATGGACATTGCTCTCTGCGAATTTTGAGACTGACACCAGGCAGAGTGACCACTGTTAACTGGCCATTCGGCACAATTAGTGGCCAATGCTGATGAATTAATCATATCTATGAATATCTGCTAAAGAAAATTGAATCAACTCAACTTGCTTGTGTAATGCTGTGATCTTTGGCTAGACTACGTTACTCAGCAGCACAAATGATTGCTGTTCTCTCCTATAATTTGTGGTGATGCTGTAAAGCAGCAGTATGAAGCTGGACAAGGAGGGCTGAGGGTGAGAGTTACTGGGAATAGATGGTGATATACCTTAAAATATGGTTATCAGTATAAATGTTCAAGTATAGTTTCTGTCACAGTTATGCCACTGTTTCCTGTGATGCTGAATTTATGGTACGGCATAAATTCATGTTTACCTGATTTGTAAATGTAATTTTGGAGTCTGAACTTGATTAGATCAAAAGAATGCACATGTCCAGTCTTCGAGAATTGCACACAAAAATAAAAACTCTACGTGCCAGGGTAGTCCAACAGATGACTCATTTGAACCACTTTTAATGATTCATTTTTAACTAAGCAGGTTTTATTTTTATTTTATTGCATTTTATTCTGCATTACTTGTCTGCTGTATTCTTCACAGCTGTTACTGAATCAACATCTGACTCACTAACCTAACTGCTTCAATTTAATTTAAGTCAGATTTTATTAGGTCTACCATAACTTTGGAAGTTATTAAAGGTAAAAATATTCCATTAAAAAAATATTTATATATATAATCGTTTTATGTATACATATTCATTATCAACCAAAATTTTAAGAATATACTCATATAAATGTTTGCTTATATCTATTTTTAAGAAAGCTCTTTGAAAGTCCCAATGGGACTTATGGGCATATGGTTGATGCAAGTCATGTGACTAGACAGAGAAGCCAGTCGCATAACTTTCACTTCTCCTTTTAAATTAGCTGAAAACGAGAAGTATCGTAACACAAGCTAAAGCTTGATATGAATAAATTACTAATGAGAGAGAAATGCAAATAGCAAATGCCCCAAAGAAAATGGTAAATGTAATCTTAAAACTGCACTGACTGTTCATCGTGTTGCAGCCTCCATAGCAAAACAGTGCTCAGCAAATAAAAAGACAGATGCTTCTTGCATTGCTGTGTAAACGCTATTATGTTTTATTTAAAACATGAAACCATATCCTTAGCAAGAAAGGGGATAGCTGTCTGTACCCAGTGTCTGACAGGGCCTGTAGACCAGACGCCAAACCAGCATCTCAAAATGTGGGTCACATTGAAGTTGTTTTTTCTAACCATTGAAGTTTTTTAACAGGGCTCTTTATAGTGGTGTCATAATGAAATGATATAGATCAATGCATCGATTAGATGAGATGTGAGATATCTTTTATGATTAATTTTATATATTGTTTAAAAAACTAAAGTGTGTTTTTGTTGTGGATGTCCCAATTGGGATACAGGATTTTCAGGGAGTTCAATTAAATTGTCATGTCATATTTTGGTTGCATTTGTAATAAAAATGTAACCGGTTGTGTAAAATATGCACATAATATCATGATATCAATATATTGATCACAGGCCCCTGAATCTAATCAAACTGTTATCGCGAATATCATATTGCAAAATTGCTGGCTAAGAGAATATATGTCAGATCATATCATGATATAAAATGATTTATACCCATATTTTTTTATGCATAGATGAAACCCGACTCCTCTCTGATTTCTGATCTACTTCTGCTGCTTCTGCTTCTGACATTGTCTGTGGGCAGTTTTTCTTGTATTTGACTAATGTCTTTCTCTTAGGGCTTTGATCCAGAAAGCTTATATACTGGGGAGAACTTCAACAAGGTTCTGTCAACACTCTCAGCAATAAACATCGCCACTCAAGGTAATTCATGATGTTATGGACATGTATTATTCACTGATATTCCATGCCTTTTCCCTCCTTGAGTACTGTAGGCATCAGCTTTGTCTTCTCATTAGGGATGTAACGATTCATTCAACTCACGATTTGATTCGATTCACAATTTTTTTTTTAACAAAATGAGATTTAAGACAAATTATAAATTAAATGTTTCCTTTTATTATTGCTTGGACAAATACTGTACGTTTCTCTGTGAAATTAAAATATACCACTATAATAATATACTAATATAGTACTTGTAAATTATTGCTCTTTTGTTGGTTTTGATTGCTTCTATTGTCCTCATTTGTTAATCGCTTTGGATAAAAGCGTTTGCTAAATAACAAAATTTAAATATAATGTAAATGTAAATAACAAAACTTTTTTTTTTCATTTAAAACAAGCCCCAAATCAAATAAATAAGTAACACAAATAAAATAAATCTCTTCATGTAAACAAAATAAGGCTTTGTCTGTGCTCTTTCCATTTAAAATTAGAGGCAACTAGGGTTGTGACAGTGAGGAAATTTTCCCACCGGTTAATCGACGTGTGACAACACCGGTAATACCGGTATCACTGCGGGGGCGGGGCGTTCCCTGTTTCCCTTGCTTTCCTTCGCTTTTAAATAGCTTGTAAAAGCGGCGTGTGCATTTTACTTTCACTTTGAAATAGCGGCAATTCGGCATAAAGCAATTGTTCGTTTTTAGTTCGTTTTAATTTTCCCTCTTTTCCTCGCTTTCCGTCGCTTTTAAATAGCTTAAAAGCGCCGTGCGCGTTTTACTTTCACTTTTGAATTGGTGGCAGTTAGGCGTCAATTGCTTGAAGGCAACAACAAAATATCTATGTGGAAATATTAGCATAATGTGCACGCAAAGAAAGAAGGCGTGGTTTCAGTAACCGCAGTTAGTGTTGAAGTAGCCATGTCAGGGAGACGCTGTGTGTTTCAGTGCGAAAGCAAAAGCACTTTATTTGGCCTTCCGGAAGTAGATGCATTTAGGAATCTTTAAGATTACTTACAACAGAACAGCAATGATTTTATGGACGAACGTTTCGTGAACCTAGGAGAGGAGGTAATTCTGACTTTGCTGACATTCTGGCACTTCTGAATCAGCTACTGTTCTGTTATTAGTTGAAGTATTTGCTATTGACTGTTCAAATGCAGAGTTTTGAGAGAGAGAGAGAGCGAGAGAGAGAGAGAGGTCACGGTCACGGTCACGGTGGAGTCAACTGTCTTAACCGTGGCTTGTGTACTGCAAACACATACCAGCTTCATCACTGTGTCTGTCACGCAACTCTGTTCCCCTTTCGGGCTCTGTCTTTACATTTATTTTGAATTTATGGTATGGGGCGTTACATTTCCGACGTGTTCGGGTCAGCACTGGGTCACTGGGTCAGCTGGCCAATCAGAGCAGACTGCGTTTGTCGGAAGGAGGTACTTTGTAGAAAATGAAGCGTTTGAGAGAAGCGGGGCATAGAGGACCTATAATAATGTACAGTATTTGAAAAATAATGTGTTTTTTGAACATTAAAGCATGTCAACATATTCTGTTACACCAAATACACAAAATAATGATCTTTTAAAAAGCATCATATGACCCCTTTAACAAAACAAATACACCATGCTATAGGGCAGGCTATGCCTAATATAAAATAACCATTTTTTTCAGTGTCAGATGATCCTTCAGAAATCATTCTAATATACTGATTTGGTTCTCAAGAAATATTTCTTATTATTATCAATGTTGAAAACAGTTGTTCTGCTTAATATTTTTGTGGAAAGCATGATGCTATTTTTTTCACAGGATTCTTTAATGAGTTCAAAAGTATAGCATTAATTTGAAATATAAATCTTTTGTAGCATTATAAATATCTTTACTGGCACTTGTGATTAATACATCCTTGCTAAATAAAAGTTTTAAAATATCAAAATATTATGAATGATAGTGTGTATGTATATAGAAGTCATGCAGTGTTTTGTTTTATAATCTATTATTATTATTATTAATAATATTTCTTACTATTAAGAAGGTATTTCTTATTATTAAGGTATTCTTAAAAAAAATCACGTTTTGTATTACACAAAATCAGATCAATGTTATGCTGAATACAAAATGTTTAGTATGTTATGCTAATATAAAATAACCAATAACTTACATAAAGTTTAAATAGGTATACAAAACTGGAAATAGGCCAAGTAAACATGTATAATATATAACCAAATAAATAAGAAACGTAGAACGTTTATTAGCAAAACGAGTAATAAAGCTTGGAGGCACGGCATACACCTTGATGTCAAATAAAATAAATAAATGACACAAAGTTTAAATAAAGTAAAATTCAGCAAACAATTTATAACCAATTAAATAAGAAACAAATGTTTAAAAAAACGTCCAAAATCACCTTAGATAAATGGCAAAAACTGGCTTTTCAAAATCCAAAATATTGCCAAACAGGCGCTTTTGCATTTCGTTTCGAAACTAAATCATCCGCGATCGTCTTGTCTGTCTCACCTCACCTCACTCTTCTTGTCAGTCAGCTCGACTCACTCTCTGAAGAAATTAAATCTGATCATGCAACTGTCGTTCGGCACGCTGCATTGAGCAGCCGCGTTCAGTTTTTAATTGTAGTGTCTGTTCTTTTACTGTACTAAAAGATTTTTATTTCTATAAAAAATCTAAACGACGGTGGGGGTCGGTGACGCGGTGGGCAAGTGACGTAACCGGTGTTGCAGCTTAACACCGGTATCACCGTCTATCGCGGCAAGCCTAGAGGCAACCACTGCATTTTAATCATGATCCAAACAAAGATGCTGCATACATGCAACATGAGCAGTTTTTAATCTAAATTACATTGTATACTTTCGAAATTTGAAGCAAAAACAGAATGATTTCACTTCAGTTTTGTGAAACTATACATAAAAAATATCTGCATGAAACAGAAACAGCAGACGAGCTGAATGAGACGCAGATGCACTCTCTGCCAGCAGGTGGCGCTTAAAGCGTTTTCTTGGTTTCCGCTGTAAACAAAGCAGCGCTGCACTTATGAACTTTAATATGCGTTATACAGAGGCAAAAGGAAAATAAAAATACCATCGAAAGACAGTAAGTTCCCCTCAGACATACATTCATATAAACTCCTACACCTAATTGAATCGCGATTTGTTTAGCATCTCATCCCTACTTCTCATTGGTGAGTTTCTTCTGAAGTCAAGTCAAATTAAATTTTTTTATTGCGCTTTATACAATAGAGAAAGTTTCAATGCAGCTTCACAGTATTAAACAGTAAAGTAACAGAATCAATGATGCAAACATCAAAAATGAGGCAAATCCCAATTCTGCTACAAAGAAGCTGCCTGTAGCAAGTCAATAGTGTGATTCTTCAGCTCCAGACAGTTCAGTGTTGGTTCAATTCAATAACTGTGTGAAGTTCAATTCAGCGATAAGCAGCTCTGCTGAAGACAGTAGTGTTGTTTTTCTGCTTGAATCAGTTCAATGTTGATTCAGTTCAGTTCAATAACAGTGTCAATGTTGCCAAATTCATCAGTTACAAAAAAATGTGATTCAGCTATAAAGCAGATGACAATAAAACAGAAGACAAAACATTAGGAGAAACCAGGCTTAGTCAGGGGAACAGTTCTTCTCTGGCCTATATAGCCTGAATTTGTTAACACCAAGTTACAGTCATGTTAACACTTATGAGGATTTTGCTAGGCAGAGCAGACAGTCTAACACAAGGCTTGCACACAACAGCGTGTGTTCAAGACATTTTTAGAAAATTAGGCCCTGATGGTCATTTATACACTACAGAGAATGTCTCTGTTTACAAGTTGGATGATAAGCACTCAATAATCACTCAGTGTTATGGTTCTGGTGGAAATGAGCCATATCTTTCCTGTTGCGTGTTCCCTTAAAACCTGTTGCTACAACAGTCCTCCTCCATCCCGCTAGCATCAGCGAGTTTTGTTTTTCTAAGTAGGGATAATGATTTGATTCTTAAGTGGTTCAGTAAACGTATTTTAATTCCATTATTAGTTGAAGTTCATTTTTAGAAGCCTGTGAATATGGTTGGGATAGATATCACATGCCCATGCACGTTTATCTCAGTGAAATGCACAGTAGGCCTTTTAATTCAGTCGAAGAGTGCAGTAAACATGAGATACAGATTGCATTTTTCTCAGGATGAGGATGACTGACCTCTTGTATTTGCTCTGTGGATGTCAAGAGGTGATTTGTCTGGGGTCGTACCCACATCTGTGTCTTTCAGCTGCAGCTGCTCTCAGCTACTGGAGGCAACAGACAGTTGCTTTTTGTTGGGCCTGTCCGGGTGGCTGACTGCATCTGCATAAGCATGCGGAATCCATGAGGCATGTAGTTATTCTCAGGTTTTGCTTCCTTGTCATGTTTCCCTGTGGCTGTTGCCTTTAGAGGAGAGTGTGTCCGCCTTGTTATTGCGCAAGTCTTCCTCAAGTCCCATAGGACTGTTTCACAACCGTTTTACACATCAGCCGATCTTGATTTACCACTTTCTGCAGACAGGTTCCTTGAAGGCATAGTTTACCAATATTTATATCTGTACACAAGATGTTTTTTGTTGTCGTTGTTGCTTTTCTTGGATCAAAATAGTTAAAACAGTAATTTTATGAAATATTATTGCAATTTAAAATAAAAGCTTTCAATTTTTTTCTGTTTCAGTGTCAGATGATCCTTCAGAAATCATTCTAATATACTGATTTGGTTCTCAAGAAATATTTCTTATTATAATCAATGTTGAAAACAGTTGTTCTGCTTAATATTTTTGTGGAAAGCATGATGCTATTTTTTTCACAGGATTCTTTAATGAGTTCAAAAGTATAGCATTAATTTGAAATAGAAATCATATTATACATTATAAATATCTTAACTGGCACTTTTGATTAATACATCCTTGCTGAATAAAAGTTTTAAAATATCAAAATATTATGAATGATAGTGTGTATGTATATAGAAGTCATGCAGTGTTTTGTTTTATAATCTATTATTATTATTAATAATATTTCTTACTATTAAGAAGGTATTTCTTATTATTAAGGTATTCTTAAAAAATCACTTTTTGTATTACACAAAATCAGATCAATGTTATGCTGAATACATTTCATGTTCCTGTGGCATTGCGTTAGCAGCGCAAAGGGTTGTGGGTTCGATTCCCAGGGAACACACATACTGGTAGAAAGTGTATAGCCTGAATGCACTGTAAGTCGCTTTGGATAAAAGCGTCTGCTAAATGCATTAATTATTTAATTATTTATTTTAAATTATTTCAAGAATTTTCATTTTTGAGTAAATTACCTCTTCAGCAAGCTTGAGTTGGTGGGTCGTTTGTCATTCCAAACAACACTCCTCTCTTATTTATCTAAATTATTATGGAATCTTGTTTACTCTTGGTCCGACTTTAAATGTTTGCAAATAGCCTTGCAAGCTCTATATTAAAGTAAGATTAAAGTGATGTGTTAATTCTTAAGAATGACTCACTAATGAGAGCAGATTAAGTGGGGGCAGATTGATTTGACTGGATTTGTGTTAAAACGATCTATATGATGAAACTCTGAGGGTTTCACTCTGAAGTGTGCTTAAGACATAGAGAAGACGTTCCCTCGCCTGGCCTTATCTGGGTTCTCTGTTGTGTTGGCTGAGGAACACTTGGAGCAGGTTCACACATACTGTTTGTACGCCGTGGGTGTTCGGAAAGAGCCTGCCGTGAAATCCAACAGACATGCTGAGCTTTTATTGTGTAGATGGAGCGAAGTGTGAGTCAGTGAAGAGCCCCAGAGGCCCCTGCAGCGCTGGAGATCTGTCAGGACCCAGTGTGCAGCAAACGGGACACCTGACTGTTTTCTTCTATTGCTAAATACTACATGTCTCCTCATTCCTTATCTCCCTCTATTGATGAAAGACAGATTGCTCATAGCAAATTAATATGAGCTAATCATGGTCTGCTGAGAGTTGATGTGAGTACGCAGTGTAGTTTTTGTACATTTTTGTGACTAAATAGCATGTTTCAGGGTTTCAGGCCTTACTTTGGTTAGGCTAGAGCACACATTATGTCTATAGGCTGTGATTTCTCTTTGATACTTGTCGTCATACATTGGAGAGTATGTGTCTGGCTGCTTTCAGCAGTTGTTTGTTGTGACCCCTATGCAAGTACATTGAACTGTGGGCTATTGGCGGTTTAACATCACACACATGACAGAATTATGAATGGGTGAGTGAGTGCTCTAATTGGGATGTTTAAAGATCACAGAGTGACCTGGCTTGACTCTATATTACATTTAGAGTCCATTTTACATGCCCCTGGTGTAATGCATAGCTAACATTTTTGTCAGTTGCGCTGAATTTTGCAAAGTGTTAGCTAATGGAATTTGGAATGACTATCATGTTCATTTGACTATCATGTTGAAAAATAAAGTACAGAGAGTAATATTGTGAAATGCTATTACAATTTAACATTTTGAATGATGGCAAAGCAGAATCTTCAGCGGCACATGATCCTTCAGAAATCATTCCAATATGATGATTTGCTGCTCAAGAAACATTATTATTATTATTATTTTTGATCAAACAGTTGTGCTGCTTAATAATTTTGTGGAAAAGGATTTTATGATTATTAGAGATTCCAAAAGAACCGTATTTATTCGAAATAGAAATCTTTTGGAACATTATAAATGTCTTTACTGTCACTTTTGATCAATTTAATGCATCCTTGTTAAAAAGAAAATTATTATTGATTAAAAAACTGACCCCAAACCTACAGTAGTGTATGTTGCTTATTAATAGTAGTATGAATTCTTATGCCCCTAATGTTAGATGTGGTTAAACAAATCTGGACACCTCATGACGTGTTGTGACATTAAATCATATATCATGAAGTAATTTGAATCTCACACTGTATGAAAAATCAAAGATAGCAACATTTGCTACTGCTACTTCATATTTTTATGCATGTCATTAATCTATTTCTCAAGTGTAATAGGTCACGCTGTACTGAAATGAAGAGTACACTGGTATAGAATCATTGAACTGCAGACTCAGCCCTCAGTAATCTTGTTCAGGACTTTCTGTATATCCATATCAGTAAACCTATAATCCAGTGATAACCCACAAATCTACTGCTCTCAGCAAGTGAGAAATGCTATCAGTTCTAAACGTTATTTTCTGTATTTTTTAAACTTCTCTTTTATTTTCTTATTGTATCCAGATTGTACCCCTACTAGATCATGTCCACTGTCCAGTGCCTCTGCTCCTAGCCTGTCAACCCCTTCACAAGCCGTTCCCACCTTAAAGTCCAGCAGGTCTTTACGGAGGCAGTCAAAAGCTGTGGTAAGAAATCTGAACAGTGCCATAAATGCTGGTAACAGTTGGTCTTTTATGTCAACAAATCGTTCTTGAAAGAGAGTTCAATTCAAAGAATTCAAAATTTGAAGAATTCAATCAATTCCATTTTTTTCAGTTAATGCCAAAACAGCAAAAAAAAGACAGATTAATCTTAAACTTAATACCAGTTTATTGGAAGGCTTTTTAGAAAATTTTGGAAGATTTGAGCTTAATGGGGTCACTTCCCCTATACTGTAAAGAAACACTTCAGACTATCAAGGAACATGAATATGCAAATTACCCTAATAAGATTACCAATTACAATGCATTCTGCATGAAGACAGTCATTTTAATTAATTGCTCATATTTACTGCTCTATTATATTTATAAGATTATTGTTATAACCTCATAACATGTATAATATTTAATGAATAATGTGAATAATAAAAATTTTGCCACTCGGTACTTAAATATATTTTATAATAAAGATGTTGAAAAAACTCATTAATTACACAGGTTTCTGTAATTACTCACAGATAATCGACCCTAATATTGAAATGTGTAATCATAAACATTTTCACATTATTGAAACATACACAAATTATTGTGGAAACATAAAGACAGTATTTTAAATATTTGCCATTTTAAATAATTGTTTAATGGTATTATACCCATTCAATATTACAGTACAATTGAAAGCCAAGCCTAAACTGCAGATTATCAGATGGTTTTATTTATCATTTATTAACAATTTCAGAACATTAAAAATATTATAACCGCTTTTAAGTGACTTTAAAACAATATTTGCATAAACCAATTATAATAAATGTGACATTTAGCTGCGTATGTTTATATTTCTGTCCCTATCAATACTCAGTTTGAATGAGAGCTGAGAGACAAGTTAATCTTGCACATTATTTATTTTTCACAATAAATAATAAAATCACCAGATGCTGTGTTAATTATGTTTAACACAATAAACAGCAAAAATTAACACAGTTTCCCAGCCCTAATAATTTTATGTTACAACTTGCTTTCCATAGACTGCTTATCGTCATTGTCTAGGATCTTAATATTTTCTCAAGGCCTTCAATATTTACTTCTAGATGTGAATAGATGACAATTTTTGGTGTAGACATTTGGCATGCAGAAATTAGAGTGTTGTTGTGATCACCATTAAAATCATCATTAAAGTAACACCGAATACTGCATGCTGAAGTTCTTCACCTGTTGCTGTTGTGTCCAGGAAATGTCGGAGAATGGAGGGGGTGGGCAGCTGGTGGTCAAGGCACGTTTCAATTTCAAGCAGAACAATGAGGACGAGCTGTCTTTCAGCAAGGGTGAGCTGATCCATGTCACCCGCCAGGAGGAAGGTGGATGGTGGGAGGGGACCCTTAATGGCAAAACCGGCTGGTTCCCTAGCAATTACGTCCGAGAGGTCAAGCCATGTGGTGAGTGGGCAATCCAAGATATTCTCTTACACGTATTGCCCTAGTGAGCATAATCAAATAAAAAGGTCTCCCTTTCTTTTTTTTCCCCTCAGAGAAACCAATTTCTCCGAAAGCTGTAAAAGGACTTGACGTTCCTCAGCTGACTAAAAATTATTACAATGTGGTAAGTTCTTAAACGTGTGAACAAATTCCAAAAAGGACATGTAAAGGAATTTTAACTTCTTATTTGAATGCTTTGGGGGGGGGTTTTCTCAGGTGGTGCAAGACATCTTGGAGCATGAGAGAGAGTTTGTCAAAGAGCTGCAGATGGTACTGGGCTGCTACCTGCGCCCTCTACAGGCCAGCGACAAGTAAGAGTAAAACTCCAATGTTACCATGGCATCAGGGAGCCTTTGATATCAAAGCCGATTGACATTTTGGGGAACTGGGTCGGTCAATGAAAACCCATGCGCATAATGACTCTTCTGTTGGCTCTCTCCGCAGGCTGTCTAGTGCGGACTGTTCCAGTCTGAATGGGAATTTAGAGGACATCCTCTCGTTCCAACAGGGACTGTGTCTTGCCTTGGAGGAGTGCTCCAAGTAAGAGCTGCATTTCAGTGTCTTTATCTCAGTCTTCATGTACTCAAATGATTGCTTGATTCTATTTTTTCTATGGAAGTCATACCTTGGATATTACAGTGTCATCTAGTGGTGGCGTTGTGTCACATATTTGTAGCATGTCCATATCTATGCTATACCATTTCAAAACCTAGGTTATTTGCAGTGTTGGGAAGGTTACTTTGGAAATTTAATAGGTTACAGATTACATTTGAAATGTAATAAGTAGTGTAACTATTTCAGTTACTTTATTAATGTAACTGATTACTTTTTGATCACTTTTTTTTTTTTATTTCCAAACATTTAAACCAGGCAGGGTTAACCTTACAGTAGTACTCAACACTGATTACTGTCAGACTTATTTTACTTTGAGATCATTCTGAGGTTAAATACAGATTTAAAATCATAACAATAAATAGTTTAATAGCTATAATACTGTTTTTGAAATCAAATATTTGCATAACTATGACAGGAAACACCGGCATTTAACAATGCCATGGAAAAAACTGTTAATCTAAAAAAAAAAGCATATGCATAAACCCAAATAGGAAATAAAACGGTTATCGAGTAAGCATATGTCCTATTTTGTGTCCTAAACTGCGGTGCCAATGCAGTTTGGGAAAAAAATCAATTAAATGTGTGTGAAAATATTCAGATGTAACCCCATTCATAAGTAACTGTAATTTAATACACATTTTTTTATCAGTAACTGTAATGGATTAGTTACATTTATTTTGTAATTGAATTACAAAAATCCCCTTTCTATTGATAATTATAGGCCAATTAGTATTTTACCGTTTCTCAGGTATCAGTATCAGTATCTTACTGTTTCTAAGGTTATGGAGAAATTAGTTGCAAAACAGATAAGCAGTTACTTGAGTAGTAGTTCATTTTCATTGCATCCAATGCAGTTTGGTTTTAGAGCAAAATACTCAACGGAAACCGCAAATTGTTTTTTTTATAGAAAATATTAAAACTTTCTTAGATAAAGGTGGTGTAGTTGGAGCCGTGTTCCTTGATTTAAAGAAAGCCTTTGACACCGTTAATCATAGAATCATAGAATCCTTATGTCTAAGTTATCTTGTTTTAATTTCTCATTACATACACTTAACTGGATAGTCATATCTATCAGATAGATTTCCGTGTGTTAGAGTACAAAATCACCAATCCAATGATTTAGGTACATCAACTGGTGTTCCGCAAGGATCTATCTTGGGTCCATTGCTTTTTGCTATATACAGTGGGTACGGAAAGTATTCAGACCCCCTTAAATTTTTCACTCTTTGTTGTATTGCAGCCATTTGCTAAAATCATTTAAGTTAAAAAAAATTTCCTCATTAATGTACACACAGCACCCCATATTGACAGAAAAACACAGAATTGTTGACATTTTTGCAGATTTATTAAAAAAGAAAAACTGAAATATCACACAGAAATATTTCTGTGACACTCATATATTTAACTCAGGTGCTGCCCATTTCTTCTGATCATCCTTCCAAAGAGATATTCTTTATAAAAGTTAAGAGTCGACAACGCCTACCTAAAACGGCTCGTTCTAACACGCCCCCACATGGCTACGTGTGGGGGCGGTGGGAAGATTTGCATAACGCCGCCCAAATGTTCATGCAAAGAAAGAAGGTGTAACTTTTATTCTCGCTATAGTATTGTTGTTGCCTCAACAATACAATTGTTGAGAAGACATGAACAACTATCAATGAACAATACAATTGTTAGAGTATTTATTTTTCCATGTTAACGTTAGTTAATAAAAATACAACTGTTCATTGTTAGTTCATGTTAGCTTAGGTCCCTTAAATAATATTATCAGATATAGCTTTTGATTTTAATTATGTATTAGTAAATTCTGAAACTAACAATAACTAAGTTTAAAAAATGCTTTAGAAGTATTTTTCATAGTTTGTTAACTAATGTACCGTAGTTAACAAATCGGATCTTGTTGTAAAGGTGTTACCATAATATCACAGGTTATTTTGAATATTAAAAGGTAAAGTAGTTAATCTTGAAATTCTTTAAAGTCATTTAGTAAAAAAAAAAAAAAAACCATGTCACAAAATTTAAAGAATTAGTGTAAAGTCTGAATTGTGGTACAAAGAGCTGCATCAGTGGATTCTGAGCACATCTCCACATTGTTCAAAAGAGGACATAAGAGCGCAAAAGAGTGGTTTCTGGACAAAAAATGATTGATATGGGAAAAATGCCACAATATTTTGTCTCCAATCAGTTCCAGTTAATATCCACATATATTCCAATTGAATATCACATAAGTAAGTTGACTTCCCAAAGGTTGCAAATACTATAGCTCTGTTAAGCTTACAAAACATTTCTCTGTTTGTTTGACACTAGTGACACAGATTTGTTTTTGTCACTAGTAGTGTCTTTGCTTTTTTTTAATATAAAGATGAACCACCAGGTGTCACTACCAATCTTTCATTCTCTTGTGTCCGCCTGAGCTGAGAGACTAAACAAGCAAATCTCCCTTTTTGTCTTTACATATAACACTGCTGCCCTATTTCCATTTTTCATTTTTTTTTTGGTACTAGTAAACTTCACAGGTATTCAGAAATGTCTGCGCCACATTTTACACACTTCCTGTATGATGAACTACAATAGGGTTTCTGTTAGTTTTCTCCTTCCACCTAAGAATGCTCCACGACAGAAGGAGAGAGTGAAAAGGCATGCCTCATACACACAGGAAACAGCACTAACCCAACAGGATATCTATAGCTGTGGTTGTGCTGATGGAGGCAAAAGACCCATTTTGATTGTGTTTTCTCACTTGCATATCACTCTGCAGAATTGTTGCAGCATTTTTCCATTGTTTGATCGTGTATTCAAGGCATGTGTTCAGATGATTCATCTTTAGTCTAACTTTAGTTTATCACAATTCAGCATCTAGTGTTTTCTTCACACCCATTCTGTCACCTTCCCCAAAACACTTGCTACTGTTATGGTTATATGAGAAAGCATTGTTGACATTGTTGAGTTCTTATTATTGTTATTATAATTTTTTTTTTAATATTATGCAGAGACATGCATTTTAAAGTCCACCTGAAATGTTCATAATACGTTTTAGTGTCCATTTATTTATACAACAGTTTGAGGTCGGTAAGTTTATTTTGAATGTTTTTGAAAGAAGGCTGCATTTATTTGATCAAAAATACAGTACAAACATTCATATTGTGAAATATTAGTGCAGTTTAAAATAACTGTTTTCTATTGTAATATATTTAAAATGTAATTTATTCCTGTGATGCAAAGCTGAATTTTCAGCATCATTACTCCAGTCTTCAGTGTCACGTGATCCCTCAGAAATGATTCTAATATGCTGATTTAGTGCTCAAGAAATATTTCTTATTATCGGTGTTGAAAAAGGTTATTAATATTTTTGTGGACACTGATCTTTTTTTTCAGGATTCTTTGATGAATAGAAACGTCAAAAGAACAGCATTCAAATAGAAATATTTTATATTAAATAATAAATGTCTTTTACCGTCACTTTTGATCAATTTCATTCATCCTTGCTGAATAAAAGTATTAATTTCTTTCTTCTTTTTTTTTTCGTGACCCCAAACTTTTGAATGTTAGTGTCTGTGTATATTCAGATTTATATATTTATGTGCAAAAAGGTTTGATCAACTTTAAACGATTCTTAAATTTATTAAATAAAATAAATTTTTAATTGTTTTCGACATTGATGACACTGATGTGCTGATCCGAATTGACTAGAAAAGGCACATAAATCAAATTAAAAAATACTTTGCATTTTCCTGAACAGCGAGGATCTGGACAAGTTCATGGAGAGTCAGGGTGCAAGTGCTCCCGGTATCCTGACCCTCACCACCAGCCTGAGCAAACCCTTCATGAGGCTCGACAAGTACCCCATCCTCCTGCAGGAGCTTGAGCGACATGTGGAGGTAACCGTAAGCTGCTAAGGCCATGAATGCCTATGAGTCTATTCATGAATTCTAATATTTACAGATTCTTTCTTTTTCTTTTTTCTTGTAGGAAGCGCATCCAGATTACAGTGACATTCTCAAAGCAACAGTTGCTTTTAAATATCTTGTGGTATGTCTCAGTTATCTGTCAGATTTGCCATTTAATCTTGGTGCTTGTCTAACAACTAAACCTTTCTATAAAATCCAATGATCATTTTGACTTTGACTTCTCCGTTTTGACCAGTGTGAGAGGTTTCCTGTCATGGTGCAAAACATTTTCAGTCTTTTCTCTCCAATTCCCTTTCACCCTCATCTCTGAAACCGCACAGCAGGTTCACTGCACTTTACAGGTTGGAGGAGATTTTGCTGTTACATGAAATGTAAAGGTTAAGGTTTTGCAACAGTGTCTCTATAATATAAAAAGGCTGAGGAAAGATGAGTCATTCCATATACAATGGCTTCTCTGGTCAAATGTTTCTTCAAAGAAAATTATAGTAGTAGGTGATTTCTTTACTCGTTGTGTTCTGTGGAACGGTTTCATTTGTTCTTTTTGTTTTTTTCTGACAGGTAAGGGAAAGTCCCATCTTCATAGTTTAGATCTCACTAGTGGGGGTGTTGTGTAGACTTGGTCTTCCCCCTTTACCTATGTTATTTTTCAGTTACCTATATTGGTCTTTGCTGATGAGATGATTTGCGCACACTTTATTGTAAATTGCTTTGATAAGTAAGCATCAGTTAGGAATATGAATGCAATGCCTGGAAATATGGAGAAGTGACCTCCCACTCCAAAGGACCATTTCATGTTCCAGGTTATTGTGTTAGAAAACATTTTATCCTATTTTAGCGTTACAGTCATTTGACATTAAAATTTGGCATTGTATTATGGTTTCCTTAAAATTAATCAGCACTATTGTTTCTTTAGCAGCAAATCAGCATATTTTCTGAAGGTGCATGTGACACTGAAGACTGGAGTAATGATGCTGAAAAATAAATAAGAGACTTTCAAAAAACACAAAAATCATACCAACCCCAAACGTTTGAAAAATTGTGTGTATATATTCTGAATGTCAAACAATTCAGATATCAGGACATTTTTCTGATAATTAAGAACATTTAGTAAATATTTTATACTTTAGTGACATTTAATTGCAGCTGGAAACCCCTTTTAGAATTGGTATGAATCAGTCTTAATACTTAAATACAAGATAGTTTCAAATTATTATGTGTCATAGGTTTGTCTTTACCCTGACTCGTACTATGAAATGCATATTAACACATAAAATGTATCTAATTCTTGATTTGTTTGTGTATTGCAGATTCAGTGTCAAGATCTGCGAAAAAGAAAGAACCTGGAGTTGCAGATCTTGTCGGAGCCAGTGCGGGGCTGGGAGGGCGACAACATGAAGTCACTTGGTCAGGTGGTCTACATGTCACAGGTCCACATCCAGAGCAGTTTAAATGAGGTGAGGAGGAGGGTGAGAACCAGGAAGTAACCGTGTAGCAACTAAGCTCGACCTGACATGTTGCTTTCACATCTGCGTGGTTATATCACTGTTTTATTTGTGCAAAATGCATGTTAGATGTTGGCACAGTGTTGAAATTATTATATATAGCGTTGTTGGAGTGATTAATTTAAATGTTTTGCAAAACAAGGTTATTTTGTGTAAAAGTGCTGAGCAGGCCTTTTAAACATAACGGGCCAGAACCAGACTATTTTTTTATTTCTTTTTTTGTTACTTGTTTTAGCTAACAAATGGAAAATGGTTAAGTGCTTTTTGGAAAATGGTTCAGCTGCTCAAATTCCCCTGCAAAGTTTTGCATCTGTGGTCACTGAATGCTTTTTTAACTTAAACCTCAGCCCCCTTTTGAATCTGATGATCTGGCTAATGAAAACATCAGAATAATTACACCAGAAGAGGGTTAGTTTGCTAAAGGAAAATTAGAAGGTTGCTGAAAGTATTTTATTGTTAAATTCATTCAAACTGATTTCCCTCCATTTGTGTTCAATGCATTCTCTTTCTCTCTTTTGCTTAGCTGAAATGTATCTTGGTTTGCTAGAAATAAGGTATGATATTTGTTGAGCATGAGTAATCAATGTAGCAAAAAAATAAAGCTGTTCACCAGTCCAAAACCGTGTGTTAGTAAAGACATTTGATATTTGTGTTTGTGAGGGTGTGCTGTAATGCCATACACCTGCATCTTGATTGTTTTATGAAGTGGTAATTCATATCATTTTTGCAGAAGTATTGATTTTAATATAATGTGCATATGTGCTTTTTTTCTAGGAAAAGGAAGAGCGATACTTCATGCTGTTTCCCAATGTGGTAGTGATGCTGTCTGCCAGCCCTAGAATGAGTGGTTTCATTTACCAGGTAAGTACATTTTTCTTATTTTTCTTTTCTTATGTTCATCTAGGTACATGACAATGAGCATGTGTTATTTATGAAAAACTTCAGTGCTCTCATTTGTGTCACACTCTTTTCTCATAGGGACGTCTGCCATTGACTGGAACCACTGTAACCAAACTGCCAGAGGATGCAGAGACAGGCCATTATGCCTTTGAGATCACAGGTTTGTTTCAGTCCATGTAAACAGAGTTTTAGTGAGGTATGTTTTTTGAGAGGTCACGGAACAATGTACACTCGACTGTCATTAATGCTTTTTTAATGCTTTTTTTTTTATAAAGCTGCTAGTATCTTGACCTGTTATTATACAGCAGGCAGCATTAGAGTTTAACATAACAAATCAAGAGCATGTGCAGGCAATTTATTCACCCAAAAATGAAAATTGTCATCTTTTGCTCACTTTCATGTCATCCTGTGGTACACAAAGCAAGGCATTATGGAGACTTTTCACGCAGGTGTTTTACATAGTTCATAAAGAAGTCCATGTGACTTGTACACTATATTTCAAGTCTTCTGAAACCATTTGTGTGAGAAACTGACTGAATCACTCTATTCAGCGATTCTATTATAAACCGTTCATCCAGTGATTCTATTCAATTCTATTCTATTTTTACCATTCAAAAGTTTTTCGTTTTTGTTTTTTACAAAATGAAGCAAGGTTGTATTAAATTGATAAATAGTGACAGTAAAGACATTTATAATGTTACAAAAGATTTCTTGATTAGCATATGTGACCCTGCACCACAAAACCAGTCTTAAGTCACTGGGGTATATTTGTAGCTATAGCCAAAAATACATTGTATGTGTCAAAATGATTGATTTTTCTTTTATGCCAAAAATCATTAGGATATTAAGTAAAGATCATGTTCCATGAAGATATTTTGTAAATTTCCTACTGTAAATATATTAAAACTTAATTTTTGAGAAGTAATATGCATTGCCAAGAACTTCATTTGGACAACTTTAAAGGCGATTTTCTCAATATTTTGATTATCCTAACAAACCATACATCAATGGAAAGCTTATTTATTCCGCTTTCAGATGATGTATAAATCTCAATTTCGAAAAATTGACTTTTTTTGTGTCCAGAGTCACATATTAGAATGATTTCTGAAGGATCATGTGACACTGAAGACTGCCGTAATGAATGCTGAAAATTTAGCTTTCTTGTCACAGGAAAAAATTATATATTAAGATAGAAAACCGTTAAATTAAAAATGTTATGATTTCACAACTTATTACTTTTGTATTGTATTTTTATCCAATAAATGCAGCCTTGGTGAGCATAAAAAGAACCTTCTTTAAAATATTTTTGGACCACAAACTGTATATTTTGCTGTTTGCTCCAAGCTATTGTATGAGTTATGACTTCCAAACCAAACTCATGTAATGTTAGGAAGCACATGCTGGAACAGTTGTTGAACAGTTGCAGTCTTCTTGTTGTTATATCTTCCATTTTGCTGATGATGTTTTGTTTGCCTTTTTTTAGGGGGGGCGATAGATCGCACCATGGTGTTCTGCAGTAGTGCACAGGAGCAGCTGGAGTGGTTAGAACATCTTCATGCTTACACCAAGGAAGGGAGTCCAGTCGGAACAATATTGAAGGTAACAAGAACGTAATGTCTTTTTTTTTTTGCCCCCCTCTTCTCAGAACATCTACAGGTGAATCGTTATTTTCTTATGTGTTTTGCATGAGCAGAGTGTTGATGGTAAGCCTACAACCATGGCTGGCACATCGTCTCACCACTTGCATAGTTTCGGTACCGCTGTGGCTAACCGAGGCCCTCTCGAACCCCCCAAGATCACCAAGCCATGGTCCTTAAGCTGTCTTAGACCTGCGCCGCCCCTCAAGCCCTCCGCTGCACTAGGTTATAAAGAGGTAAGCTTTCTGGAAAACAGTCATAAGGGAAGATTGAGTGGGAGCGTAATTTACCTCTGTGCATTCTTGGTGGTCCTAACAGGAAACCAATGCACACTGAGCTACTCATCCAGCAGCCACCTTCATTGTTTTTACCGCAAGTTGCAGTGGCGGTGTTGATGTTATCTCAGATTTAAGTGGAATGTTTAGTGGTCTTTGAGCTGCTGATTATCTAACACTACCCAAAACCCACTCGAACATCTTATTAGCGTGTACAGCATCTCTACAAGACTGTGCCAAGGGTGTTAGTGATGATCTCTGACTCATGAAATGCATGTGAAATCTTCTGTTTCTCTGCAACAATTAATGTTCACCTCTCACTGATCTTTCCATCATATTCCTGTCAGGCTGTTCTTTTATTCTCATACACATCTTCATTCTCTCTCCATTTTATGCTTCTTTAGAGGATGTCTTATATCCTGAAGGTAAGAGTAGACGTGAGTTTGTGTATTTTGTGTGAGTCTGTGTGTGTGTGTGTGTCTGTGTCTGTGTGCTTAGCTAGCACCGGTGTTTCACACTGGATCCATGCATATCTGTCTTTTTCTCTTTAATTCTGCGGAGAGCTGCCTATTTCTGGTGTTGTTTGCAGTGCATCTTCTCCCTCTGCAATGATCTTTGCTAAAAAATAAATTTATTTGTAATTCTTGATTTTTGCTGTTATGTGTTTATTTATTAGTAGGAATGGAGTTCAGATACAACAGCAAAATGTTGTCTTTAATAAATATAGCCACAAACCCAACCAACCTTTTTCCTGCATGAAAAAAAACTGCTGTGATACTTACAAAGATGATACTTATCCAAACAAAAGAGTACACATGCATACAGTATATAGGAATGTTATCAATCAAAGCAAATGAATTGCATGAAATGTGAGTAGTTAATCAAATTAATCACTTCTATAAATATTTGTTGAGAAATGCCCCAAAGATATTGCATTATTGTGGTTGACAAAGCACTGAATAGGCCAAATTGGCTTTAGAAGTCAATATATTGCTTGTTTTATTTCCATTCCAGTAATTATTGGTATGAGTAAACATTCTCTGGATATATACTGTGCATCTTTGCCGTTCCTCCTGCTTCCGTGCCGTTGGAACCATATTTTCAGATTCAGTTTAAAAGCTGTTAAAATGTGTCTCACAAACCTAGGATTGAGGCTACACTCTGTCCAGTGTTTTCAGAATGCAAAAGTGGTTCTTCTGCAAATGGCTCTTTACTCATTTCATGCTGCTTGCTTTTGACAGACTCGCAAAAACCTGCCTTCCATTTGGTGGTGCTTGATGCTTCAGTTGTTCTGATGGTAGAAAGAGTTTTCATTATATATTGTACGTACAAGACGTACGTTAGTTGTAGTTGTAGACGTAGTTGTACGTTACATGGATAGATTTTTTTTTTAAATAACTATTAAATTTATGTTAAAGGGTTAGTTCACCCAAAAATGAAAATTCTGTCATTAATTACTCACCCTCGTGTTGTTCCAAACCCGTAAGACCTTCGTTCATCTTCGGAACCCAATTTAAGATATATTTGATGAAATATGAGGGCTCTCTGACCCTCCCATAGACAGCAAGGTAACTACCATGTTCAAGGTCCAGAAAAGTACCAAGATGATCGGCAAAGTAGTCCGTGTGACATCAGTGGTTCAACTGTAAAGTTACGGCGCCGCCACACGCTCGTGTCATGATACTTTCGTGAACGCGCGTCCAAAGTGACGCAGTAGAGACGAAAATTTTGAATTTTTTTCTGGACCTTGAACATGGTAGTTACCTTGCTGTCTATGGGAGGGTCAGAGAGCCCTCAGATTTCATAAAAAATATCTTAAATTGTGTTCCGAAGATGAACTAAGGTCTTGCGGGTTTCGAACAACACGAGGGTGAGTAATTAATGACAGAATTTTCATTTTTGGGTGAACTAACCCTTTAAATTCACATCAATAAAAGCTACTAAGAGTGTTTTATAGAAATCAATAGAAAATGGTAAATGTAGCCATCTCTCCAATAATGACAATGAAATACATTTCTTTTTTTTTTCCATAATGTTTGAAAATGTATCACAGAAAACGCCTCTGAACATATAAGGTGTTTTGAGATGTTGGGAATGTGGCACTTGTATAAACTAATTATGAGGAAGATATTTCCCATTTAAGTTTCTAACTAGATTTGTTATTAAATATAAATCAATTGAGGATATCAAGAGCATTAGGTAGAGATTTCTTCATATTGGAAAAACATAACAGCAATCATTCTTTCTATATTCGGCGATAGTCTAATAACACGCGGCAGTGTTCCAGGGATAAAATAAATAAGCGGGATAGTGAATTGTCTTGTAGACTATCTCATGAGCTTCTGAAGGGATTAAGGTTAGCTGTTGCCATGGTTACTGAAGTGTTGGAAAACATCACTTTGACCATGTCAATAAAAAATGTACTATATATTTTATTGCTTCCAACAAATATAGCAATTCAAAAAAACACTTTCTCACAGCTGATATCACATTTTAAGATCCAGATATCACCTCTTATATTTGCAGAATTCAGAAAATAATCTTATACTTGTGCAATGAACCTGTGAAATGCATTTAGGTTATCTACCAGAAGGCTAAATTTAGATGATCAAAAGAGTCAGTATGTGCCATGTATCTGTTCATAGAAATGGCAAAATGACTCATAATGCCTAATTAGGGTGAGGTATAAGGGCAATGCTTTCGTCACCAGAAGAAGGAATATTACTTTCCAATCATGCTGCGTGATTCTCTGTTTTATGTCCCGGTATTCTGAGCAACAACTACCTCAAAGCATAATGGCAAGTTTGTTGTTTAAAAACTAAGAGGACTTCTCATAAGCCAGGTCTTTCCGCTAGTTTTCACCTCATTTGTCTAGGGTTAGTCTTAACCTAGCTGGAGAATTATTCGAGAGACCAAGCACTTCATTCACAGTTTTTCCATATCTCAGGGCCACAATGTTGTAAATCAGTGCGCTAGTATTTGCCGATTTCACTTCTGTTCGTATTGATTCAAATGGTATTATACATAAATTTTGTGAATGAGCAGTTCATTAGTGATGAACATTTCTGTAAACTGTGAACGTGTGCATGCTTAACTTTCCACCATTTACTTTCGGTTTGATGTCATGAGTAAAACATACAAACTGAAAACGCCATTCAACGTGAAGCATGCTGTATATGTATATGTACGTATTTCATAATAAAATAACCATTCTGTCTGGTTGTCAGTGACTGAATGTTTTAAAGGGTTAGTTCACCCCAAAATGAAAATTCAGTCATTAATTACTCACCCTCATGTCGTTCCAAACCCGTAAGACCTTCGTTCATCTTCGGAACACAAATGGAGATATTTTTGATGGAATCTGAGAGCTGTCTGACCCTCCCATAGACAGCAACGCAACTGTAATATTCCCAGGTCCAGAAACGTAGTAAGGACATCGGTAAAACAGTCCATGTGACATCAGTGGCTCAACTTCAATTTTGCGAAGCTACGAGAATACTTTTTGTGCGCAACAGAATTTAAATTTTTGGGTGAACTATCCCTTTAAACCCTTAAATATTCATCCAAATGTTCCTAACTAAGGTCTTACTTAATAAAACTGTCAACATCACATTTTATTTCTTCCATGGTTGGTCTTTAAATAAATTGTAATAATAAAATAAATCGAAAAAAAAAAAAAAAGGGGGCAGCAGCCCTGTGACACTTCTGGAACAAAGTCAACAAATGACTCAGACTGAAATAATTAGTTCACAAACAGACAAGGGTCTCTCATCTGCAAATTGTTTTCATTCATGAGTCCCTGATAATTAGCAGTTAAATTATCCTGGATGGCGTCAAAACTTATGTAAGCTACCGTTTATTGGCCTAATTTGTTAGCCTCCTCACTCGGGATTTGAACACAAATTAAGGCCCGCTAGCTGCGGTTTTGTAGTTTTATTCAGAGCTCAGCAGATGCCTTTACTCCATTAACACCAGACTGTTTCCTCAGGACTCTAGTAAAAGCCCCAGACCCAGACCCAAGTTCCTCCCAAAGAGAAAAACGGAGAGAAAACCATCAGATGATGAGTTCCTGATTAGAAAAAGTAGGTCAATTAAAATGATACATAAAATTCATTTCATTCCCAGAGCTAAGATCTTGCACAAATATTCCCTGTGGTGGTAGAATTGCGGGGGTTTTTAAAACAAACAAGCAAGCAGGTTTGGCAACTTGTATTTTAGCATGCACAAACAAATAGAAATAATAAATTGATGGTTCGTACCTCTGAAACGTTATTTCTGTGACATACAGGCACAGCAGCTCTAGAGGAGGATGCCCAGATACTCAAAGTGATTGAGGCTTACTGCACCGGAGCCAGTCTCCACCAATCCACCACAGGTAGACCTTTGTGTCATATGTACTGTATAACTAAGCTACTGCAATTTTAATAATGGAAAAGTATTGTTAATATAGTTTAATGGTGTGATTAGAAGATTTGATTTGTTTGCACAGCTGTTCGTAAGGAGTGCATCCCCCAGGTCCTGCTTCCAGAAGAAGAGAAGATTATTGTTGAGGAGATCAAGAGCAATGGCCAGACAATCATTGAGGGAAAGTATGTTCTGTTGTCCGATATCAGAATTACTTGATGATTAGCATTGAGTCCATTTAAGAAAATGCTTATATTTTTTTTGTTTGTTTTGTTTTTTTTATTAGTGACTTAGAAATAGTGCAGAATTGTAAATATTTCTTCCTTTTTTTTATTAGTGACCTAGAAATAGTGTAGAGTCATAAATATTTCTTCATTTTGCATCTTAATGTTTCTTTTGAACTTTTAACCCTAGATTTTTCAATCTTGACCCAGTCTTGACTTTTGATTTCTACTGTATATATACGTTACTTAGTTGAATATTTGAACGAATATTTTTATTTGATTGTCTTGCAGAAGTCTTGTTGATGCTGTTTATGCTCTAAAAGATGAAGTCCATGAATTAAAAAAGGTGAGATTCTGCATTATTGTAACCTTTGTTGGCATTATACTGTAATCTACTGATGCCGTGTGTTTGTGAATGCAGGAGAATAAATGGATGAAGCAGTGTCTGGAAGAGGAACAGAAGTCACGTAAGGAGATAGAGCGTATAGTTAGAAAGATGGCCAAGCAAAAGAATGACTGGGATGAAGGAGGTCACTAAAGAACACTCTGGACACTCGCCCGTTTCCCCTCACCAGCTGCATGTATGTGTTTCTGTGTCTGTGTGTCCTCACAAATGTGTTTTTATGTGTTTTTCCATCACATTAATCACTGCACATTGTTTTTGGAAAGTCACCATGCTGGGGATTTTCAGCCATTTCTCATCAAATGTTTTTTTTGGACAAGATGCGATGAGAATATCAACTCTGTGTTTAGTGACTGTGTTTTTCTCGCCACACTGAAGAATATCACTGTGCGGTTTGCTTCACGCTCCTGTGGTGTGCCATTCTGAGAACAAAACGCCAACTGTTCTGGAAGACCAAGTGAACTGCTTAAGTATTTTGTGATTTGGAAAACTTCAGATAACTGTCCATTTTTTCGTTCCGGTTCACTCAAGCACTCCAAGAAGAAGCATCACAGAAAAGATGGTGGAATCTCTTGTTTTTCGAACTGAACAAATATCTGCCTCACTTTATGACTGTTACTGGTCATGGACAAAAGAGATTCGATGACAGTCATTCAGCCCATGAACAGCATTCCGACTCAAGCCACTATTGCACAAGTGAAAATATTCTGTTAATGGCGTAAGAGAAGATATTTGTGGTTGAACATTGCAGGACTCCACCGTATCCACAAGTATTATTCTTTTCAGTCCTATTTCTGCTTTTAAAATGTGAAAACGGTTGCTCGAGGTAGCTTTTAGGTCACAAATGAACAAGATTGAGATTTGTAGTTTGCACTTGATTGACACGAGATGCCCTATTTGCCATCTTGAAATGAGTTTATTCCAAATATGTGACTCACGTCAGCATGGGTACACAGCATTTCTAAAACAGCCATTATGTTACATAATCATGCTTCTGATAATCATCACTAGTTTAAAGCTATCAGGGATATAGTTGTCAGAAATAGTCATGTTTATAATACTATACTAATACGATACATCATATAATGTATGTATATCATATATACAGTATAAATATGTATATATCATAGATGTTATGGCAAAAGGAACCATTTCAACTTTTTTTAATGGTAACAAAAATTCATTAGGTAATTGTATCCTCCTTTTTCAGAGGCTTGAAACTATTTCATATGATCTTAAACCAAAAAAAAAAATCCAGTATGTTTGTGGGTTTGGTACTAGGAGCCCTTTTAGGACTCGAAAACCAAGTGTGCGTAGAAGCATACAGTACTTTAGGCACTGATATTGTTCCTCACTTACTGTATCTTGGAGGCTCATATTAGAGTGAGAAACAATTTTGTTGATTTTTATTTTATTTTTTCAGCAAACTGCTCCCCATCAGCAATAGAGCATAGGGTAGCACCATATTTAATTTTTGACAGGAATGAAATCGAGGCTGTGAGGGATAGACGTACAGTGCATTCAGTGGATTGTACTGTAGTTTAACAACATACCGATTGTTCAGCTGACAAAACATCTTTCTAAAGAAACTTTCTGTGTGATCTAAGACCTTTATACAGTGGTAAAGACTGTACATCTGTCCCTCACAGCCTCGTTTTCATTCACGTTGAATTCAATATGGCATCTACCCTGACTAAAGTCTGTTGCACTGAAGGTGCATTTTCTTACTCATTTGTACTCTGCGTGGCATGCGTTCATATTTTCTTCTTGAACACTTGCCATTTTAACGGCAACAAGTTAAATCAAATGAATAAGTCATTACACAGACAGTTACACAATGACACTGTGTCTGGAGTACTAAACCTTTCTTTTTTTACTAATCATTACCGATCATAACCGTGACTAATCTTTTCATTCGTGGATCGGAGATGTGATCTCTGTCTTAAGCAGTGAAGAAATGAATGCAAAGAGCTGTAAAGATGAGCAAAACTTGGGTGGGGATTTTTTTAAAATCTTTTTAAACCCACCAGCAGACACCTCCGGAGCATTGCTGTGGCAATTCAATGCAATGTGCAACTGATTTGTTCTTACAATTGCTGTGCAAGAGCCAGTTTTTCTCTTGGAAGGAGTATACTGTATAATATATTCTTCCGATTAGGCAATAAGATGTGCTCTGAGGTACACCAATATAATGCTGTTACTGTGGTACTGTGTGTAAATCTGTTTCTTGTTTGTGTGCGTGTTTGTTTTTCCAGCAATTAACCTTGCATGCCATGTGTTACACATAGCCTTAAATATTATTTTAAAGTGTTAACCCTGATTGTATTGTTGTTATGGAAACTCTTGAAAGTTTAAAACATCGGTCTAAAATGTTGGCATCTACGGTGGTAAATGTGATATTTCTGATGGTCTGTTTATGTGTGTTATTTGGAAGAGACTGATTTGATCAGTAGGTTATGCAAGTATGTATAGTACCACGTGGAAACATGCTATTTGCTATAGGTGGCTACTGATCTCACTGAAAGGAAATTAATTTTTTTCCTCCTAATGAATAGCATTCATCCTAAAAATGAATAGCATTTTCAGGTGATCATAAGGGTTGAAGAATGTCCACATCAGTTTCCTCTTAAAAGTGCCCATGTCTGCAGAACACAAGTTAAGTTTTATTTTTGCGGAGCTGATCTATGCAATATAAATGCTATATACACACACAGTATATACTGTGTATATATATATATATAAATTGTTGTTTTTTTCCCTAGTGCTTGTTTTTATTTTGTCCTCATTCCAATAAGGAATAAATTGTTTTAATAAAATAACATCATGTTAATAAGTTATACGTTTGATTTTATTTTGATCATAGTTACACATACAAGGAAATTCCACCTTGTGAAATACGAAGGTAGTATGTGTGAAGTATTTTTGATCTGGTGTTTTTATATATATATATATATATATGTATGTATATGTGTGTGTGTGTGTGTGTGTGTGTGTGTGAATGGAGTACAGGCTAGAGTGAGTGTAGTAGGCTGACAACTTCCTGTAAGCAGAGGCATCCGCGTGGCTCAAACGAGCACGCGTTTGTCACCTAAAACTCACTGTTTCCATGGAGGAGGATGGAATGCTGTAAAATAGGCACAGCGGTAGTCCGTTCAGGGTCGTGTTAGAAAATTGAAGTTAAAAACAGAACTGGTAGGCTTACACGTCTTTCTCTTCGACCTCTTCCTACACCGTAGTTTCCAAACTTTAAGAATAGAGTTTCTCACAACCTCAATCTACTATATTAGGAAACACTTGCACAACTCATCGCCAATTAGAAACATTGGTAATAATATTAAAAATACTTAATGGAGGACTAGGGGAATAGTGTAATAGTGGGGAAATAAACGCTTATTCAAAGTTACTTATATATATTAATATATAACCCACATAATGTATATTAATATTGGTGTGTTTATATATATTTGTATGAATTTGTGCGTGTGAGTGTGTGTGTGTATATATATATATGTATATATATATATATATATATATAGTTAATTGATAGATAGGTATAAAGAACAGTTGTTGTACTGTTCTTAAAAAGTACTTTAAATAAGAATCAACCATCAATTATAATTGTTATTCTAAAATAAATATATTTTTATTAGGTCAATAGTTTATTATTATTGTTATTATAAAAAGAAGAGCAAACCATAACCAGGAAAACTACAGTAAATAAATAATTTCATACAAACACTAGCAGTTGAAAACATTCGTGGTATTCTTATCAGGTTCTATTTGCAATGAACTATATAATTGAAAGGATGTTCCCCCATTCAGAAGATTTCAGTGACTTCCTCGTTTGTCCTGAACTTGAATTGTGGTTTGACGTCAAGGAGAAAATGTGGTGCAGTGACTTTCCCTGGAGCTGATCTTTTTCAGATGCCATGCACGTTATCCGTTTAATTATAGTGCCTTGATCCAGTCAATCCCTGACCATCTCGTATCATCCATCTCCCCCTTTCTCCCGCATTTCAGTTCCAGAGTGTTTTTTACCGCAATTTGTATAATCCAAAACTGCAGGAGTCCCGGTTCACCAAGGATGTGTTTGCAACTGTAACATAGAGTTGTTGGTCTTTCTCTAGGCGGAATACCCCTGCCAGAGAAGCTGTACACAAATTTGATGTGTTTGGGTCCAAACTGCAAAAAGACTTGAGTAGCTCCTTGACTTCCTGTTTATTGGGTTCTATGCTCCTTATGGATTGCTTTAATCCAAAAGAAGTAGAATGTTTGGAGAAGGTGACTTGGGAATAGATGAAATAGATTCCGGGATATCGAATGGTCAACTTGTCCCGTTTGGTGCTAAACTGTACGTCCTGTAGCAGCGAATGCTCTTCATCCCAAAGAAGATTGTTTGACTTCAAGAAGTCCGAATTCTTATCTGGTGGCATTAAAACAAGGAGAACCTCATTATCACCATACAATCGCTGGGCTTTAACTTTAATTACATGATTGGATTTAATACTAAATGAATGATTCTAATACATTATATTACATTCACCTTTATTTTCGCTCAGAGCAGTCATGTGTGCAGCTGGTCCAATGAAGTGTGGCCCTCCAGTTAACTTAGACACTGCAGGATAATTACACAACAACAGTAAGCATACAATAAACATTAAAGGGTTACAGGAAGGTTATTGCTTGCTAAATATTCAAAGCAAATCTTTTTATTTAGTAAGAAGAAAATATGCTAGGTATTTATTTTTATACAGGCACCAACATGCTAAAAAATCAAACAGTCAGTATTCAGCAGTCCATTGTGCTGTATGTTTTAGATACTGTTAATAAGGTTGCCAGGTCAGCAGTACTTACATTTTTCATTTGCTTGTGAAACCTTTGGGAAGAATTAAAAATATATATTAATGAGATATTTTCATATAATGTTTATGTTGTACGATTCACATCTAGGAATACCAAAATATTCTAAGCATGACTTTTGAATGCTTGAAATAAACATATACCTTTGCTATGAGAGTTTTATATTTTTCCATCAGTTTGTCACATTCTGTCATTGAGTCTTCTCCTTTATTGCTATCCGCACAGTCCTGTAGTCTCTGTAGGCTTGTCATGTCTTCATAATAACTGCCCTGGAGCTGCTGAAGATGAAGGAAAAGACATTTATGAATGTGTTTCCCTTAATGCTTAAAGAATTGATAGTAAATATATACAGAGCTTTTAAAAATCGGATCAAAGAGAACCCGGAGTGTGAATAATCCAACTTTTCACGTACAATACGGCAATGAAAATGAAAAAGGTTTTATAAATGTACACAACGCTGTCTGTCAAAGTTTATTTCACACAGCGCTACAAGTACAATTACTTAGATGTTACCGATTATTCTTAAAAAATATAGGGCCCACTTTATATTAGGTGTCTTTAAATACTTTTTTTACTTCTGAAATTACAGATGTAGGCCTAATTACAGGACTGAATTTTCAAATAGAAGTACAATGTAAAAACATGTAGGTACACAATCAGTGCATTATCAAATGATTAATTTAAATGTAAGTACATAGCAGTTAAGGACACAATATAAAGTGGGTCCAAAATATATCATTTATATATGTTATAAGCATTGTCATATATTTGTGGTTTGTACATGTTTAATAAGCTTAATAATAACCTGACGGTATGTGTTTTGCTTCATCAACACACTGCCTGAAACTGATCACAATGGAAAGCACTTGAATGCACTGTTGCTATAGTTACCCTTCTGGTGAACTCCACTTACATTTGCGCATCTGTTTAGTGAAATATGCACTCTAACTTGCACTTTAGTATTACTGAAACATTTGAAATCCCTACTGAAACTAACACTTCGTTGATTCGTGTATCAATATGTCTGCTTGATTCACTGATATACTTAATCTATGAGTTGTACATAATCTATTTTAAACTACATGTGTTTGCTAAAAAATGGCCTATATGTATAGATTTAAAAATCTTTTTGCTGATTTAAAAACATAAGTTGTTCTCTTTTTTTTTTTGTATCCCCCCCAATTTGATTCTGATGAATGCACTAATTATCAATCATGCTTACTATGCAGGGATAATGCATATTGTCATTGAGTCACTCCTTTGGCATATAACTCATAGAGTGAGATTGCATAATTTGTTGGGTAGTTTGGTTTTAACTTCCTCTTGAGACAGAAATGCTGTTTTTTGTTGCCTTTGTTTCTTTGATGCACAGCACACTGCCTTGCTCATAAAACCACACAACCCAGGAAATACACCAGTGAGATCAGGCCTCGCAGTCTTTTAAGTTGAACTTTTTCTGTATATTCTGAGACAAAATAACCATTTGCATTTCATCTCAAGTTGCATGAGCAATTTTTGCAGTTACATTTAACCAACTGATTCCAAAGTGATTTTTAGTGAATGTAAGAAGACGTTCCTCCTCAAGTTCACACAGGTGTCTTATCAGAGGAACCATAGTTCATCACATGATACGCTAATATTTGACAAACACAAAATGTCCAAATATTTTTTGTCTTTATTGTCAAATGCAATGATATGTATACATTTTTAAGCTTTACTTAAGTGTCCAAATACTTTCGGGGCTTCTTTATTTAAATTTTTGGAGAGTACTCACAGCCGTGAGTATAAACACAGGAGAAACACTTATGAAACCTGTTATTTATGAGCCATAACTATTTTTGTTTGATAATCAAGGTCGATAAGATACTAGTTTACCACATTTATAAAAGATCCTCGAAAATGTATGAAAGACATGCTTTTCATTTTGGCTTTTGGCTTATACATAGCTTCCCAATTTTGACCTCATTTTAACCACCAATCGGTGGTCTCTGCTACAGTACCTATTCTCATAACTCCACTTGATCATTCTTGACGTCTGTTTAAAGCATACATTGCTGTAACTGTAAATAAGTGAGCATCTCTGTATAGGTTTATAGTATGTGTAAGAGTTTGTTAAACATTTTCTTTTTTAATTGTTGGCCCTTCAATGCCACCTTAATGTTGGTCATAAACTATGCTTTACATCAAAACAAAAACGTTTATCATGCAAATGTTGACTGTCGACAATAGAAAATGCTGATTATCTAGTATCGATTTTTGCAAAAGAAAAACACACAACAGGTTTCACACGAACTGCGCCTAACCTCAGTTCCACCCCCACTGATTTATTTCAGTCCCTCTGCCAGGGCTCACATTTTCCGAAGTCATCAGTATTATTTCAAACGCATACTTTATAGATTAGAAAATTATCTTCACCCACAAGGCATGAAAGGACACAGCTGGGACCTGTCATCAGACCTTTATTATTAAAGGGGTCATATTTAATATTTTGCTAAAAAGAACATTATTTTGTGTATTTGGTGTAATGAAATGTGTTTATGCGGTTT